AGAAAAACCAGAACACATGATCAGCAAAAATACTAAATAAAAAAGGGGGCGTCAGCAAGTCTTCAGCTTATAATTGAAAGGTAACGGAAAATGAAGGCAAATGTTATGATAAGAGCGATTCTATTGAAAAGAACTGGATGAATGAAACGGATGGATTCAATGAAGGCAATTCAACACCAACACTCTCAGAGAAGCCGCCTCAGCCCATATTTGTGAGTACGAGCTTCGCTAAAAACGTCAGTAGGATGCCTTAATCCAAATATCGCACATTGGCGATTAGGAAGAATCCACACACACCGAATGAGAGTCTTCATGAGATTACTATTTCCGACAGATTATACTGAATGAAAGCAAATAAATGGCTGAGCTGAGGTCTGAATACCCTTACATGTGACCTGTGGAGAAAAATTCTCTAAAAAGGGATGAGACGAATTTCAGAGTAAAGCAAAGACAGGAAAGCTTGTAGAACAAGAGGTTCTCATTATTATCCATAGATGATTTATAGCAGTGCATGAATATGTTTCAGAATTGAGGAAAAATAAAAGGGAGAGTAGAGAAAATGAGTTGATGCACTACTTCAAAACGTCCCAATTGTCGCTAAACGCTGTACAAAAACGGGTATGCTTACATTCTCGAGGGTCGAAGTCAACGTCGTCAGCATAAAAAGAGGGACGAGCCAAGGATGGGGTCAGTGCCGTGCCGTGCAAGACCGTGAGCCTGTCAAGACCCTCAAGACCTTGCCTGCTGTTGGAGACGATCAAGACTGGACGTTGGACAAGATCCTCAAGACCGTCAGTCTTCAGGCTTCAAGGATTTAAAATAAAAGATCTAATATTCTTGTAAATTCAGAAGCGTGGCCAGTGACTTGTGTCACTGAAAGGGCGAGCAAGAACAGGCAAGATCAAGAACTGGGCCAAGAAAGACACACCACACCAATACCATCTAGAATCGTGGAGATGTCTCCAGGATAGCTTGTTCGAAAATACTGAACAGTGCACTGTCAAGGTCAATGCATTCTCGTAGGCAACTCTGGCACAAATTCTTGGCTCTGAAGGGTTGGAAAGTTTCGAAGGAACGGGAGGATTCGATCTCACACACCTTACATTGCTTTGTCAAGAGCAACTGCGTCACAGTGGTGTAGAAAATACGGCTGATGAAGTCCGACTATGGATGATGATGGTAGAGTGGAAGAAATGGTGAACAACTACTAGGCATGAGATTCTAAGCAAGAAGGTACTCTCTTTGCACGGGCAATGTGGGAGAAGGGGAGGAGAAAAAAGAACAATAATCAGCAAAATACTAAAAAAAAACGTCAGCAGCTCAGCCATAATGAAAGGGTAGGAAAAATGAAGCAAATGGTATGAAAAGAGCGATTCTATTGAAAAGAACTTGATGAGGTAATGAAACGGATGGATTCAATGAAGGCAATTCAACACCAACGCTCTCAGAGAAGCCGCCTCAGCCATATTTGTGAGTACGAGCTTCGCTAAAAACGTCAGTAGGATGCCTTAATCCAAATATCGCACATTGGCGATTAGGAAGAATCCACACACACCGAATGAGAGTCTTCATGAGATTACTATTTCCGACAGATTATACTGAATGAAAGCAAATAAATGGCTGAGCTGAGGTCTGAATACCCTTACATGTGAATTGTGCAGAAATTCAAGGTAAGGAGGGGAGAAATAACAGGAAAAATTGAACTTCAATATAGTTTTGTAGAGCAATAGAGGCTAAGACGAGGAAGATTTTTACCGGCATGGGAAGATGGAAAGGGGTCGATTGCACGACAGGAACCACTTGAGATGGCCTTCGTTTCATGAGGAGATGTGATCTTGGAA